AAGGAATTATAAATAACTTTATGAATTACTGCTACCCAGTTAGCAGTCTGTACACCTATTTAGTACCTGTTCCCTCAGTGATTCATTTTTCAAATTTTTGTGTTTCTTCTTTCAAAATAAGTGCAAAAAGCAGGGGCAGAGCTATGTGCCTTTAGAAATTCAGAGCTGTAGCAAATACTTAGAGGTGTGGATTAGATAGCAGAACACTGCCAGAAAAAGCCACAATAAAACTACCTCAGTGAACTGCTGCCTTGGCTTACTGATAAGAAAAAGAAAGAGCATTGTCCTCTGCTGTCACTCGAGCCAAAATTACTTCTTTTTTTTTTATTATCTAGATCAGATAAATTTTTATCTTTCCTTTTGCATAAGGCAGTTCCTGTGATTTTGTGACAGACAAATATGCAGCACAATTAAATCTTAATAGCAGTGCTTATACTGATTTATGGAAAAATTGTCCTATTTAGATCAGTGCACACAAACCACAAAAGTTGTGTAGGTCACGAGTATGTAAACCGCATGCAAAGGAGGGAACTATTAAGAGAGGAACACTGTTCAGCAAGGCATTATTGAATGAACATGTAAATACAGGGATAAAAAAAAAATACACCAACCTACATTTTTTCTGCCGTTTTCCTTTTTCCTGCATAATGGGAAAAGATTGTGCTAGGTTTTCCTGTCTTTTAGCTCAATTCTTGGTGACTAGTAGTGACTGCACCTCAACCTTATTTCTCACAGCAAGCTCTTTTGGGGCTGGAAGTAAAAGAGAAATGAAAGGAAGTTCCTGGATAATGGATACAGAAGAGTTTTTTGTGTTGAGCCTGAGTGCCAAGGAGGTGTCATTGTCCATGTGTTTGTGACTTAGAACATGAGTGTTACTATTTTGAATACATCATGGAAAGGATACTTGCAGCTTAAAGCCACCACACACATGCAGTTACTCTAGCAGAAATGAAAGGAAGTGAAGGCTGAAACAAGGACTAAAGCAGCACAGTGGCTGATATTTTAGCATCTAATCCTGAAGTAATGATGCTCACAAATTTCAGAGTCAAACTGTACACCTCCATCATTAGAGCTGTGACAAAAGATACATCAAGGGTGAAGTTTTGGGTCATGTTTTTCTTTATTTGTCCTTCTGAGATGAGTTGCCACGGGATACAGTGGTGCAAGAAAATATGAAAGCTGAGACAGAAAGAAAATAAGGAAGAGACCAGGGTGGGTCAGAGGAGGCAGCAAAGGCCAAACCTCTCTTGCCTAGTCCGTGTCACTCGCTCAGGTGTCGTGGGGCAGGCTGGCAGGTACTGAGGTCAGAGATTGCCCTAGAAAGGGCTCATCCTAAGGCCTATGTAGAGTATCTGATGCTGGCAGAATCACCCAGCACTGCAAACAGAGCTTGAAAAATAAATTAACCTGGGAATGACCAGAAGCTGACATCAGGCACTAAAATACTTGATTTATTTACACATTCGAAGTCAGCAGTCTCAGTCTTGTCAAAATACCTCTCTCAATTATTTGCATGAAAAATACAATATTTAGCACAGGACTGGGATAATGCATGATAAATCAGGGACACACAATGCTGTCAAATAGACATAGAAGGCACCATGGTGTTTATCTTACGAACTGATGACCACTGCTGTTTCTGTAATCTATTGCTTGTCGGGGCCAAAGAGTCAAACAATTTATAAAAAAGTTCACAGGAGGAACTGGAATAATGACTGAAATCTCAATCATCAAAGTTTCAAAAGCACAGTAGCAAGGTAATGTTGTATAATGAATTATTTGCTGAGAATTATTTATCCCACTGAACAGGTTGATTCCCTTTGCACTCAGTATTTCCACTTCGGAACTGCTTGCTGTCTGTATCACCACATCATTTCTGAAATTCTTAGCCACAGCTAATAATGAATATGTTGGCTTCCTTTTGCATGAAAGAAACTGCCAAGTACATGCAGTTCTGTAACTGGTACATCCTTGTCCATGTACTGCATGGTGTAGAGGTACCACTGTCCCCAAATGCTTTCAACACATGTGAAGTACTGCAGGTACCCAGGACCAAGGTGAGCCATAATAGCACGGGCACTTGAGACAAAGATGCAGATTGCCTGCTTTGGGATAGGTCTGGTGGAGGTGTTGTGAGGTTATGAAATACACGATCGGCTCCAGCAATGTTTCAGAGCACCTGCACAAGGCATTCAACACTCCCACAACACAGTCAACATGTTTAAAGCATAGTTAAAGGCTTTGATGTTCAGCTGCAGAGCAGCCAGCTTCCTAGAGCTGTCTCCACTGACTCCTAGGTAGGTACTTGGCTTTGAGTCATCTCTGCTCTCTTTGGAGCTTGGGCTTCTGACCTGTAGTTGCTCATTAAAATACAGTTTGGAAAAAAAATAATGGCTCACATTCCCAACTTTCCCACTGTGGAAATTAGGAGATCAAGTAGTTTGTTCTGAGCTTACCTATTTCTACCCATTGTAAAACCCAGAGCATGCTCTCCTCTTCCTAATAGCCATCACTGTTTAAAAATGCGACAGCCAGCAGCAGCAGTGATGCAGCCACCCACCTATGGCATAAAAAACTAGTGGTTACAGCACTAACCCAGGAAGGTAGATACCTACATTTGTATGCAAGAGATATCCAGGAGTGGTCCTTTATCTCTTGTTTTTCCTCTTACACTTTTATTTTTGATTGGGAAGATCCCTTTTATGCTGATTACCTGTTGTTAGGTGTGTTTTAGCCATATTCATAGCATGGATAAGCTTCAAGGCCCAGAGACAAGGGTTGGCTATTTCTCCCCGTGATTTCTCAATCGGTGCAGAGAGTGGGTGGGAGTCCACAGCCCTTTGGCTTTCATGCCAAAGAGAGAGAAACATAATAAGTTTTAGGTGTCTGTGAGGTTGATTGGATAATGTCTGGGTGTCTTTTCCTTCAGTGTGTGAATACTGTAAGTTCTAAGCAGAGTTTTAGTTGTCTGTTAAATTTCCCACTGACAAAAATTCAGCATGAAAATACCTCAACAAGTGTATTTTTGTCTACCCTATTGCTTAGTTGTTAAAAAGGGTACTTTATGAAAAGTGTATAATATTTAGAATTATGACTTCTGAGTAATCTATTGTTTATATCAACTGTAGGAATAAATAATTTTCCAGTAAGACACAGAGGTGATTAAAAATTAATTGACATGGAAGAAAACAGTCAGTGTTTTGGTTTCTAGTTACCACTTTTCCAATTCATATTGCTTTCAGTTGAGAGCTGATGGGGCAGGGGAGATTTTGTCCCAGTGCCCTTTGATTAGGTACTGACACAGATGTGAAATAAAACTGTACCTGAGGCTGCTTGGTCTGTTCAGCCTGGAGAACAGGAGACTGAGGGGAGACCTCACTGCAGGTAAAACTTCCTCTTGAGGGGAAGAGGAGGGACAGACACTGATCACTTCTCTTTGGTGACCAGTGACAGGACCTGAGGGAATGGCCTGAAGTTGTGTCAGGGAAGGTTTAGGTTGGATATTAGAAAAAGGTTCTTAACCCAGAGAGTGGTTGAGCACTGGAACAGGCTCCTCAGGGAAGTGGTCACAGCACCAAGCCTGACAGAGTTCAAGAAGCATTAAGACAATGCTCCCAGGCACATGGTGGGACTCTTGGGCAGGGCTTAACCCTCCTGTGCTGGGTTTAAGAGTTGGACTCGATGATCCTTGTGGGTCCCTTCCAATCCAGCATATTCTGTGATTCTGTAATACTGTGGGACAGGTACCTGGAAAAAGAGTTTGGGAAAAAAAAACTGTATCAGGCAATGGTAGAGGTAATAACTTAGACTTCAAAAAGTCTTTATATTATTTTTTCATCTACATAGCCTATGTCTGTTGTCAGCAATTTAACATCTAAAAACTGGCAAAAACAGTAAAGAAAGCAAATATTTACACTTGAAGCAAAGCAGTCTGACCAGTTCAAAATATGCAGTGCAAAATCTTGAGAGAAAATAGATTATTTGTAGGTTTCCAATAGCCAGTAGAAAGTAAAATTATATAAATCAAGAGAACTTGCTCTGAAAATTTCCTTTTCACTTTTGACAATTACTATGCCAACCTGGCTATTTTACTTGAGTATTGTGAAAGATCCGAAACATTTTTAGTGCAAATGCATTCAACTGCTACTGTACTAGATCTTTTTTTATGATTCATATTGTTACTCTAATATTTTTGCTAGTTTCTTGGGCATTGGCCTCAGATTAATTTCATAGTACATTTGAGGTCTCAACCACAGAGAGGACTAAGGGGGTTATTCCTGTTCTTGGATTTCTACAGGTTTGGATTTTTTTCCCCCCTAACGTAGTGGAACTTTTTTCAAAAACCAGCTGTATGATGCTTCCTTTTTGAGCACATGCAGTAGATCAGAATTTGTAAGTGAAAAAGAACATTCCATTTAGTCCAAATCTCAACCAGCATAGGAGTTTATATAGCTATGACACTGTATATTTGTGTAATATTCTAGAAGATTATCTATTTTCCCTGGAGTTTCAGTTTCAAGTAAAAAGCATTAAAGCCTATGTTTTTTCAGTGATGTGTTGGGAATAATATTACTTATACAGCAGAATTCTGGGAGCAGACATTCACTACAGCCTCTATTTACTCTTCATGCAGTGTCTGTCTGCTGTAGATACTTGTTAATGTTTATCTCTTGGTCAGTGATTATTTTTTAATAAGAAAATATGATCCATCATGATCCAGAATTACGACTGAGTGATACATGGATCCTTAAGCTTTGACTCTGCTCCTATGCAAATTAATCACAGAGCTCCTAATGACTTATATATCATTATCTGAGACCTCTACAGAGCAATTTCAGTTTAAGAAGAGTTTTAAGTGAATGGGAAAATCCTTGAGGGCCTTCCACACTGAGGCTGTGTGCCTTACTTACTTTGCAGTAAGTGCTGCTCAAGCTTGTGTAAGTCCCCTTCGATTGTTTAGGGTAACTTAAAATTCCTAATTGTCTGTGTTCAATTTCCAGAGAGAGCATGTGGGGCTGTGCCAGGTCAGCTGTTAACCCTTTTCGTTTTTTCAACTCCAGGTATGAAGCATTTTATTGTGTATTATATAATGTTCTGTTTATTTGACAAATTCTAACAGCAGTGCGTTTCAGGTTTCTTTCCCTCTTTGTGTCGTGACTGGGGGAAAATGTGTGGCTAGAAAAGGTCCAAAGTTGAGTTTTCCAATTGCGTTTTATATTTTGGGGCTGGAAGGGTGGTGGGAAAGCTGCTTTTTTTTTTTTCTTCCAAATCCGGATGTCTGAAACACAAGAATATAAAAAAACCCTGTGTTGTCTGATGTTTAATAATGTAGTTTAAAAATGTTCATAATAGTCTACTGAAGTTGAGTAACAAAGTTAATGTGAATCAGTGCAACTCATGTTATAATGGGTCATTGCCAACTACAATGAAACAGTTGACAAGCAAAGCTGTAAAATGAAGAAAGTGCTCTTTGCAAACATCACCTTGCTTTTATTTCAAGGAGGGCAAAATTTTAGGATCCTACTGTGTAGTGTACCTAGTAGATGCCCTGCTTTAGGGTGCAGTTTATATGCCAGTCCAGTGTGGGGCCAACTGGACGGTTTCAGCAAGTGTTGTGATGCCATAAGGGCCTTCAGGTTCACCCCACTTACCCAAATATAAATGATGTCATGTGGCAGCAGAGACATACCAAAGCTGATAGGGTTTCTTTTTTTGTTGGATTCATTGCTGTTGTTTTACTGGGTTTCAAAATAGTGTGCAATGAAATGTCCACTCTCAGTGTGCTTGCTGCTTGTTTGTCCTTCTCCTTTCTTTTGTTTTGTGGGCCCCTCAGAAGATTCCTTTTGAGTCATGGTGATTGTGTGACAATCAACTCACTGCTTCATCTGCCATTAGTAATCCGTGTGCCTACCTGTGGAGTAGAGAAGGAAAAACAACTTCACACATTAAATACAAGCAAATAAGTTGCAGAATAAATCAAATCCTTCACAGGAACGACCTGCCCAGAGAGGTGGTGGATTCACCATCCCTGGAGGTTTTTAAACAGAGATTGGATGTGGCCCTTAGTGCCATGATGTAGTAATTGGAGTTGGATCAGGGGTTGGACTCGATGATCTTGGAGGTCTTTTCCAACCCAATCTATTCTATGATTTATAAGTACAGCTAAGCTTCATAATAAAATTAGGAAGAAGTAATGTTTAAGAGCAGTTACACTTTGAAATTGCTAATGAAAGTTAGCAATCATTCCCTAAATCTACTCCTGTCTCCAATTTGCAGTTAATTATGTTACAACTGGTATATTTATGTTAAATTTTGCAGGATCTTATTACTCAAACATTTTCAAAGAAGCAGCAGGAACAATTTCTCTGTTAAAACCAAAACAAAGCTTTTAAGGTTTCCTTGGTATGAAATTGAAACGATAGATTTATTTTTTAAAACTTCCTAGAATTTTCTTTCATTGAAATTATCAGTGCAACTTCAGAAATTATTCTGAAGACCCAAGTAGTCTCCCAAAATATTGTCTTTCTAAAATAAATATATATTTCAGATACAATTTTTAATGCAGGTTTATTTAGCTGAAATGAACTATAATATTCTGTGTAATCACCAATTATATTAGCTTTCATTCTACAGAAAGCATTTTCAAGAGGAAAGTTTATGTTGTTAATTTTTTACTCCTTTTCAATGTTGTCAATATTTTGCTTTAAAAATTGCTCATGGATTTACGTATAGAGTGTACACAAAGCATAGTAATGAATATGAGATCCTACTTATCTGGCCTGCCGAAAAACACGCATGATGAGATGTAGATGAAGATGGCATAAGTCACCTGGAGAAGGGGAGGCTCAGGGGAGACCTTACTGCTCTCTACAACTACCTGAAAGGAGTTGTAGCTGGATGGGGGTTGGTCTCTTCTCCCAGGCAACCAGCAGTAGGACAAGAGGGCAGTCTTAAGCTGAGGCAGAGGAAGTTTAGGTTAGACATTAGGAAGAAGTTCTACACAGAAAGACGGATTGGGCATTGAAATGGCTGCCCAGGGAGGTGGTGGAGTCACAGTCTCTGGATGTGTTTAGGAAGAGGCTGGATGTGGTACTGTCATGATCTAGTTGACAAGGTGATGTTCGGTCATAGGTTGGACTTGATGATCTCAGAGGTCTTTTCCAACCTGGTTGATTCTGTGATCTCATGTAGCAGTTTTAAACCGCTGAAAGTTAGGGCACGCTGACTGGAGTGAGATGAGACTGAAATGTAGTATTTGGCAAGGGAAAGAGATTCTAATAAAAAACAGAAATTTGGAAGAGAGCTACAGGGTTTTTATGTATTTTTAAAATAAAGGACCAAATTGATCAAAAAAGTTGCATCTGTCAGATCTCATTTATACTATGTCAATCTGTCTGTAGAGTGAAAGGTGGAAATTAGATCAATAAGATTAATATTAAAGTCAGTGTATTATTTGAAAGTGTGAATTCTACCGTGCACTTAATACTGCTGGCACTGCCATTATTCCTCTCAGCTGGTCCTTCTTCTTGGGATACGGCAATGTTGCGGTTTAGGAACAGTAACTGCTTGTCAGAAGAGAATTCAGCTACAAGTAAATGCAGCTGTATGAGTGGATATATTTCATTTGAATTAAATTTTATGCCTACCTGGGTTTGGGTTTTTTTTTTCAATTTTCTATTACTTAAAGTTATCTTTTTCCACTAAATTGGAAGTGAGTTATCCTTCCATAAAATTAAAATTATGGTATTCTAGTTATGAAAGTGCAGAAATGTTCTTAGATACTTGATTTCTTTGGTGATGATGGAGGAACAAACTGGATCGCAAAGTCTTGAAGACACATTTTTTTGTAGACTTTCTTCCTTTATTTTTTTTTAATTGGGTTCTACTTGAAGCTCTTAAGTTCTACTCAAAAGCAGTTCCACACAAATCTTCTACATCTGCTGACCTCTGTGGTTGGCCACAGGCTGGGACTGTTGCTTTGGCTCATGTGCATCTAACTGTTCATCTCCTATAAAATGTTGAGCATTTTGTCCATGTTGCCTCCCCTGATCCACCAGGACAAAGTGATAATATGCGTGAGTTTTGTGTGTTGGCAGGCACAACATGCCTCTTCATCCTTGGTATCTTGCAAATTTGGTACTGCTTTTGCTCTTGTATAATTTACCCCTGTTCTTTTTAACACCTTGTCCACAGGCTCAGCCAGATGGGGATGTTTGGCAGCTGGAGGACCCAGATGCCAAATTCTGGATTACAGCTTTCCTGCATTGGCCTGTGGGTTCATGGCTGGCTTCTTGGCTTGCACCTCCGCTAGCTTCTTGGCTAGCTGTCTCTCTGGCAGCTGCAGCACTGCCTCTGGGGCTATGTTTGGGTCAAGCTGCTATGGAGTTGGATGACTTTCCTGGTCTGAATCACGCTGCCGGACACCATTTTCACCTTAGTTTGCTTTGACTCTCCACATTTAAAGACAAAGATTTGTAGTGTTCTGTTTTATTTCTGTCATTTGTAAGACTAATTTGAAGCAGTCGTTCTCATTTGTCACCAGTTCAAAAAGAAAATAAGTGTTGCAGTGCAGAGTACACTGTTTGACTTGCTAGGATTCCCATTAAGTTAGTAAGAATGTTAAGGTCCAAGTCTGTGCTTGCAATTCGTCTCCAGGACAAAATGGTTAACTACAGAGCACAGGCTTTAAAAAATGTATTTCTTATGCCTATAATTTGATTGCTTTCAGCTGAAAGTGAATCTAGCATCTGTCAAACAGAAAAAAACCCCACATTTGCAGAGATAATCTGGATAATTTTTAAGAAAAGGATAAAGAGTAATGATAGAGTAATGATGATGATAATAAATAGGAAATTATTGATAACAAGAGCACTGCCAGAAGAATTTTTTTTTTTTATTTTTGTTTTTGTTCTTGTTGGTATGTTATCATAGAATCATAGAATCATAGAATAGATTGGATTGGAAAAGACCTCCAAAATCATCAAGTCCAACCCCTGATCCAACTCCAATTGCTATAGCATGGCACTAAGGGCCATGTCCAATCTCTTTTTAAAAACCTCCAGGGATGGTGAATCCACCACCTCTCTGGGTAGGCCGTTCCAATGCCTGATTACCCTCTCTGTAAAGAATTTCTTCCTAACATCTAACCTAAACCTCCCCTGGCAGAGCTTGAGCCCATGTCCCCTTGTCCTATTGTTGGTTGCCTGGGAGAAGAGACCAACACCCACCTGGCTATAACCTCCCTTCAGGTAGTTGAAGAGAGTGATGAGGTCACCTCTAAGCCTTCTCTTCTCCAGACTAAACAACCCCAGCTCCCTCAGCCTGTCCTCATAGGACTTGTGCTCAAAGTATGGGTCTGATTGTCATTAATGTTTGCATCTCAGCCACAATTTCTGCCCCATCAAAGAGATTCTCATCACTTTCTGTACCTTCCGGGGCTTTGGAAATCATATATAAGGTTGAGGTAATTCTTTCCTCTTTTTTTAAAAAAAAAAAAAAAAAAAAAAAAAAAAAAAAAAAAAAAAAAAAAAAAAAAAAAAAAAAAAAAAAAAAAAAAAAAAAAAAAAAAGCCTGTGATTGTTGTCCCTTATGCATTCTTTTCAAGGAGAGAAACAATGTGTGCTATTAAAAAGGGAAAATAAACAATCACAAAGCTGTTTTTCCCTTCTCTTACACCTCCAGTACATTCTCTAACCCAGTTACTGTAATTGTTTTTAAACTTTTTTAAAATGTGCATACTGTCAAGAGGTTGCAGTAAAAAAAGTGTTTCTCATAAGGCCAATGAGACCACAAGGGATGAAAAAAGATGACTGAGCAAACAGAAAATCCCGTGTTTTCTTTATCAACTTTTTTTTTTTTCCTAATGGCAGATTCTTGGAGAAAGAATCATTTTACTTCAGTGAAAGACAAGCTTAGGGTTTGCTGATTCCCAAGGCAAAAAGAAGGCACAGCTTCCAATTTGCAGGCTATTCAGTGTGTGTGATGAACTGAAGTAATTTGTGGATTTCTGTGTTGCATTTTGACGTGATTAAAAGTTTTAAGTCTATTGATTTCATGCTGG